TAAGTGTTCAGCAGTAATGTACAGTATATCCGTCTGTATGTTTAATCATAGGGCTCTTGCTTTATTCTGCTATGAACATGTGTCAACAAGAAGAAACATTTCTCAACACAGCATGAGGTTCTACTGTATTTCTGTGTGGGATTAAACCAGGTTACTACATTGTTTTTAGGTGTCAGTTGTGGGTTTGCTGTTAGGTGTGATCTCTCATTGAGGGTTGTAAACACTTTTCTTCTTTCATCCAAAAAATTCATCATGGATAAATTCCTTCAGCAGCAGTAGTCATGATCACTGCCTCTGACAGGTTGCCCAGCCTAGTATTATAGAAGGATGGGTCAAATGCACAGGGCGCTTTTCCCTACGGGGACAATAATAATCTATACATTCATCTGTCGATCTTGTTTTCTTGATAGATGATTTTGACTGATTCAGACCAAAGTAAAACATCTCCTGTTTGTTAATATGATCTACTTCTATACCTTCTATTTCTTCTTTATATTTTACGTCAATATTGAGATGTTAAATATTAATAATGTATAATAATCCATGTTGATACATTTATGAAACCGAAAAGGGCTTGTTTCACATACTTCTATTTCTGATTGACCAATGCATTTCAACCTGGACATATAATAATAACTTGTTTGTTCCATTACACGTGACTTAAACATTTGCAACACTTGATGTCGAAAGATTGCTGTTCGCCATTGCACCTACTTCGACTCGGGTTAGTTTTACCTGTAGCTGCTGCTGACGTAATCTGAAATGTTGCGTGGTGTAATCCCTGCATGTAGCTCGTCTTGGAAAACCGTTTGAGAGAAGCATGTTTGGCACTCGCACACAAGGAGTTTGTCAGATGGAGTAAGCAACTTGAAATGCAAAAAGCAGGGAAAGTTCTGTGCTGTCAACATTGACGTTGATAAATCCGTTGGAATCAGGAAAATTAAGATGTTTTAAAAAAATAAAATTTTTAAATTAATCTCAGAGGGAAAACCAATGACGAATAGTGAGCACTTCTCTTGTTCATTTGTCACGGCTTTCCTAAATAATTTCTGAAAACAAATTAAATGGCAGAATGGGGTTTAGAGAGAAAAGTTTTTCAGTTTCTTTTGGGCATTGATGGTGATGAAGGCCCATTTTTCTTAGTGACAGATCAAAGTGGCTGGCTTGCTGTGCAGGGCTTGTAATCTTTGTATGTCTCTGTATAGTGGACCAGGCCTAGTGTCAGCATGAATGCGGCGCCCCTGCGATTTTGTCACTCTTATCTATGCCTCCTGCAGTGATGTCTGGTAACCAAATCCGTCCACCAGTCTGAGAAATGAAAGGTATTGGCCTTACACACTATAATTGGGCATCTCAGTGCTTAAATACAGTGTAAAAACACCACTGAGAAAATGGGTGCAAGGCTCTGCTATCATGTTCATACAACTTACTTACATTTCATCAGTTAATATACATTTTTTGCTACTGTATGATTAGTTTATCTTCAGCCAACAGAAAGTCTTCCTGTCTGCATATTATTATGATTATTTGATAATTAAAAAATGAGATTCTAAAGATGCAACAGAGGCCAAAACACATGCTTGTGAAAACTGGTTATAGAACCAAACTGTTTTTAAAGCAAGGAACTAGTTGAATGAATATGAATTTTAATGTATTTATTGTGGTTTGAAAGTTTATTCCCTAGGTATTAAAATAATCTTTATCCACCCATTACACTTTTTATACACGGATTATAATTCATTTGTGCCATGTTTGTCCCTGCCATTGTCTCCTTTTGGGGAGAATACAGTTGATCTGATCTGTCTTATGGGCTACATTTGCAGAGTTTTGAAATGATAAACTATGTATGAGATTGTCCCTTTTGACAATAAATACAAGTTTAAAAGGAACAGGTTATTTTAAATGCCACTTAAATTGTTCTTGTAACCAGTGTGAGATTGACATTCATACTAAACGGTTCCAGTTATGTATTGTTATTGCACCACTATCTCTTCATTTAGAAGCAACATTAAGTACTTGTGTCACTGCCGGATCCAAAGCAGTAGCTGAAGGAGCCGTGGTTAGTGGTTACTTTTGTAAATTTCTGATGTGAAATTGTTGTGGACCCAACAAATAAGGCTGACTCACCCATCATAAGATCCATGTCACATCTGGAGACATTCTGATACCTCGGGTTGGATGAAATGGAAAAAAAAAATATATCACGATTATGAGAAGGAGCTATCACAGCACATAGTATACACACATATGCTATCATGGTATTTCAGATTCATACTATCCCTCAAAATTATAGCTATATTATTATTATTAAAGTTATTATATCGTCCAGTCCCACTAGTACCTAAACCTAAACAGCCTGAGTATTACATACATCTAGGGAAATGTTTTAATCTTATTTGTATTGACTTTATCATCTGAAAGAGACAATAAAGTGAGGAAACTGAACTTCACAAATACATTCATCTGTATAATGGAATCTATCTATCCCTCAAAACACAGACTATTAAGACGGCACAATGACGTCACAAAATGTTTATAATACAAGACTTTCTTACATTTATTTAACGAAGGTACAGGATAAATGACAGATTATATGAAAAAACTATGTGAATCTTTATATTAAATTGAAGAAAAAATAGAAGAACAGTGGGTCTGAGTTGGTTGGAGCTGTTAATATGAATCAAACTTGCATAAAAAAACTCCTTCACACACCATTTCAAGTAAATATTGAAATTGTTGTGTGTTCAAACGTTCAGCCAGTTTGATACTTCCATCCTCGGGTTACTTCACAGTGATAAATCTTTCCTGCTACGGTATGTAAAATATTTGACCCATTGCGGGCTGTGACTTCTTTTCAGTGTAGGAGCGCTCTCAGGTTCCCACATGCTTTGTCATGAATAAATCCCAACAGCTAAGTGAGGATTTCTGCCCCCCCTTCTGTCTCTCAGACTGCACTGTCATCCTGGTTTGGGCTCTTCTGACGCACATAAAGACCATGCTGCATCTATCGGTTTCTTTTCATTTATCTTCAGACTGGTTGGACAATATTACACTAGTATATAGTATATACATGCAGTTAGTGATTCAATTATGAAATGTGTTTTAAAAGCTCAGGTTGTAACTAACGGTAGTAGTAGTGTATATTTCTTATTTGTGCGATTGCGTTGTAGGGTCAGATTGAGGTAAAATTTTAAGTTTTTGAGTTTATAATATAAACACCATTTGGGGGAAGAGAATCACACTAGGTTGTACTGATGAAGTGGAAACAGAATACTATTTAGAATCAAAATCATAGAATATAGTGACCATCCCTAGTATGTTTTATGTCTATTTGAAATAAGGTTTTGACAGTAATGACTTTGCTCAGTGTCTGACGTCTAAAGCCTGCACTCAGACTCTTGTCAAGATGACACGACCGCTTGTTTACGGCGGCTTTTAGGCCAGAAGGAGAGAGAGAGAGAGAGGAGAAGAGGAGGATCTGGCAGGCGCTGGAGAAAGCAGAGGGGGTTTACTGGCCTCTCGAGAGTCGGAATTCCTCCTGCGCTGTTCCCCATTTGGCTGGCAGTTGTGAAAACAATTGCCTGGCATTTACTCTCCCTCTCTGCCTTTGTGCAGATGGAGTCGCAGCTATGAGTCAGCGTGGAGCAGCGAGCGGTGGAGGAGAAAGTGGTGGGCTCTCAAGCACAAGAGACACCAGCATTACTTTGCTCTCACATGTTGTTTTGATGGTGGCCAAGCTGTTCACAGTATCATTAGTTGACTCCCCTATACATTATATACTTTCAGCTTCAAAGATTGCATATATTGAATGCATTAGAACTGCTATGTATTGATGGTAAGAGTTGAGTCTGCTGGTTTGTAAAAGTTGGTGGCCCTTGAGGTTTAATATCCATTCATCTATTTTCTTCCCCTTAATCCATTTCTGGGTCGGTGGGGTGGCAGTCAGAGCTGCACCCATTCCCAGAGCATCAGCCCCTCACTGATCCTCCTGCAGGTGGTGAGTGCACAGGAGGGTTTAATATTTACCATGTAAATAAATACAGAAATGGCTTAAAGGTAGTTTTTATTTTACATATTTATAGTGAATTGGAGACAGCTACACCTGGAGGAAGCCTAACCAGAAACGGGGAGAGCATGCAAACTCCCCTCAGAAAGGCCCTGTTCTGCATGAGTCAAAGCTAGGATCTTCTGGACAACTCCTTGTTTTCTCATATTATACATAATTTGTATCAAGTATGTAGAGTCCACTCAAAATCGGATAAGAATGCAAAATCCATTATTTTTAACAGTGACATGGTGGTTGTTCGTTTGGTTGAACTTGTGAAATAATGATTCCAACTGTTGCATATACTTGACCTGATTAAAACAAATTGATAATTTTGATTGGATTATTAACAAAAGTTATTATTAAAGGGAATGGCAAAAGTGCTTTGAAAAAGTTTGGAATCCCATTAAATACTGTTACTATTTTATTGCATGGGTTCATAATTTTTATGGCTCCCTCTATCAATAACTAAAATGTATTCATTTGTTTTAGAAGATTGCAGGTCAGAGGTCTGTGCAAAACTTCTGATGTCCCACTTCTGTATATGATTCATAAGAAAACCTCCAACTGTGCGTGTGCGTTTCAGTTTAACTGGCCACAAACGCTTCGCTCTTTATGTATGCACACTTTTGTGATTGCGCTTTGCACGACTCTACAAGACTAAGAGGCCCTTCTTCAGTCGATGTGATTGATATTGGCCATAACTGGTGATGGCTCTCAAGGAATCTGATCTGAAGCTGTTCCAAACTCACAATTGTCTTTTTTTCTTTCTAGGCTCTGTCAAGTGAAGATGCGTTGCTGATGTCGTGAGCAGAGGTGCACCCGGACTTCTCACAGTGAACCACATCACTTCTTCACATTTGGTCAACTCCGCTACAGTCATCTCGTGCTCCGACAGTCGCCGTAGCAGACACCTCTCCTCCCCGCTCCCCTCTGCCCCAGCCCGGCCGCCAACATGACCTCGGAGCTGGAGAGTAGCCTGACCTCCATGGATTGGCTCCCTCAGCTGACCATGCAGGCGGCCATCCGTAAAGCAGATGCTCAGAACACTCATGGACCCGGCATGGGCAAGAAAGGTGCGTTACTAGATCCCAACACCACACTGGACCAAGAGGAGGTCCAGCAGCACAAAGATGGCAAACCTCCGTACAGCTACGCCAGCCTCATCACGTTCGCCATCAACAGCTCACCAAAGAAGAAGATGACCCTGAGCGAGATCTACCAGTGGATCTGCGATAACTTCCCCTACTACAGAGAAGCGGGCAGTGGCTGGAAGGTAAGACCCTTTTTGTGAACAATGGTTGGTTAATTCATTTTTTTATTTTACTTAACTGAGAGGAAATCCTTTTGCCTAATCAGTTAGTCATTTCTCTCTTGTTGTTGAGACCTTTCTGTGGTCATTATTGTAGCTAAACTAATGTTTGTGCATGTGATACAGAAATGGACGCTGGTATCTGGCCTACGTCATCAGCGTTAGCATATTTATTTCCTATAGTATTAGGTTGACAAATTGATGGGGCGTTACTGCTTTTTGAGGGCTGACACCTCTGACATCCCCGCCATAGAAAATCAATCTCATGCCACTTCTTACAATCACTTATCTTACAATATTGTAAAAATGTGCTTCCATGTTCGGAGACCAGCTGTCAAGCATACTGACTATTGCCATCTTGTGTTGACTGCTGCAAGTTACGGTTTGTGTAATGTCGTTTTAACTAAACTGAAAGGTGCAAATGCTGCCAATGCGTAGTGTCGATATGATTTAAAGCATTATTTCAATGTTAAGGGTTCCTTGGTCATGAATAATACATTTCCGCTTAGGCCACATGATGAACCTGTTGCAAAGCCATCCCACGTTGCTTTAATAATCACCACTGTCTCATTCAAAGCTTGTCCATGGGCTTTTGAGTTCACCAATCACCTCACGAGTCTCTCAACACTCAACAGAATAAAAACCGCAGAGGAGAATAAGTGTTAAACCTTGGATTAATATTCACCAAAGTGCGCCCTATCTGTTGCAACACAGACTAAACGGCTCATTCACAACCTGTATTATTCATTGCAGATGCCTTGATAGGAGCCCGGCCATTATGCAGGAGGAGGGTATCCAGTGCTGTGTCATCATCTCAAGGAGCGCGTGATATAGCGAGATGAAGCTACGCTGATTGCCTTTTAAAGCGGGGCCCAGATGGAAATTGATATTACAATGAGTTTTCCAATCAGACGGCGTTTATTGGGATTGGGATCTTAGGCAGTGCTTTATTGCAGTCAGACAAGATGTATGAAGCCCATTTCCTGAGGCGACAAGATCTGGCGGATTTTGGCGTTGAGGTGTCTGTATGTGTACGCGTGTGTGAGAGAATGAGACGTAGAGATCAGCGGCAGAAAGGAGGAGAGAGGTTTTATTATAAATGGAGTGATTTTGTTAGAGTAGCGAGGCTTTTTGTGAGGAAATGAATTGTTTTATTTTGCAAACCTGTGCTTCTGCTTTTACCTTTATCATCTCTCATTTGGTTGTCAACTGCACATGCTCGCAGATACCAATAATGTGTCCCTCAGAATGTGCTTTATTCTGCCAAATTACACCCAAATGTTGTTGTATCTTGTAAGAGATGGTTGATTTTCTTTCAGCTAGTCGAAGACATGACAACAGTCTTGGCACTTTGAACAGGATTTTGTGTCCCTGCAATTGGGAAAGTCAGTAATTTGAATATAAAAAATGTATATTCAAATTACTGACTTTCCCAATTGCAGGGTTCCTTTCGATCCTTTGAAACAAAAAATAGCACCATCAATGTCTAATATTGGGATGAATCTTTGAGGTTCTGAAAATATGTTTTCTAGTTAGACGTCCCCTTTTAACAAGTACCTTACTTCTGCTTACCTCTCGGAGAGCAATAAAAATGAAGTGGCTAAAGCCTTACTGCATTACAAAGCTCTTCTATTCTGAACTTGGAAATTCAATGCACTGAATTTGCAAAAGCAAAATGTGTGACAATTTTTTACTGATAATTAATCTTATCCTGCTAATGGGGATTCCTGCTGGTTTCAATATTAGCTGCCATCACTTCAGACTTGACTCCAGTGCTGAGCAGAAATGCCCCCTGCATTTATTGGTGTTAAAACCACATCAGTTCTCTGTAAGGTGCAGGAAGCTCAACACGTCCTTTGAAGATGTTAAAATCTATGTCACTCGTCACTCAGTGACAGGGTGGGGCCTGGAAGAATACAGTTACAGTTACAGTGGCGTAATCTGGTACTAAGTTCAGAAATCAGATCAACATTTTTATTCATGTTTTTTAGACACTGGATCTCTAACGTTGTCCTGCTGGCGGCGGTTGAACTGACTCCCATAGCGTCACTTTGTTCTCTTGTTACTGCAGTCGGGTGTTTACAAAATAACACTTTCTAAGTTTTGGAAGATTTTAAGAACTGATTATGTTGAATTATGTGAACTTGATATGTTTTCAGAAGTTTTAATTTTGCATACTTGTAGAAGGAACGATTTGTCAAAAGTAAGATTCTAATCTGACTTAAATAAAATATCAAAACCTAGATGTAAACTGTATTTCCATTTCATTCAATCAATACTAAAACTTTTACATGATATTTATCATAATTTCAACTGCTTTATGCACAGGAACTGTGCTCATGTAGTTAAGTGATATGTTTTTCTGATTTACATGTTGGAAATGCTCCCCATTTATGTTGTCGATGCACATGCGCTGTCCTGATGTACATGCCTTTGTGTTTGCATGCGCAGGCCTGTGTTTGTTAAGCTGTAGTCGTGCATAAAAGTATGAGATTTGCAACGTTCAGGATTGGCGCATGCATGTGAGGGAAATGCATACAGAGACTAGCCTCCTGCAGGCTCCTCCTCCTGCCTTTGCGATTGACTGGTAGACTGCTGTCGACTGGTATTGGGCAGCACTGCATACCCTGTACATCAATAAGAAAATCATAATGCAATGTGTGGTATTTTGCAAATGTGCCATCAACAGCATTAGTAAAACACATTGCACCTGTGTATACTTGTTATGCATTTCCCTATTTAGCATAATGGTAATGGCATCATAATTGGCTTGCACTGTGGTTGCCGCATGTCTGTATGAGGTGAATGTAGATCACTGTAGTCTCCTTCTTACCCCCACCCCCCAGGAGACATGCCTTTGCTCCTTCTATGACCAGAATGCACCCATCCAGAGCTTCCAGACTAATATAGGCACTGGTAATGCATTCAATCATCTCAATAAATGTCCTATTAGACCACGCTTTTAAGAAATATCAATGTGTGCTGTCAATAAAAACAGATAAATGACAAAGGTCAAAAATGTGAGCGCGGGAGCAGTGCATTTGTCTCTACCTGCTGCCTGTGAACTGGTAATTATTGCTAGCTGCTCTTAAGCGAGCACTCAGGCATTCGGTTCACCTTTAGTGTAAATGTCTGAGATTGTCATGTGCATTGACTAACAAATGAGGCCCTCACTTTCTCTCATTTCTAATGGTGCCTTTGAAAGCACTGTATAAGTATGCCTTTTTTTAGTGTCATGTTTTGTACATATACGTATATGTAGTCCAAAGCTTTGTAAAGATAAGATGGGCAGGTCATATATTTAGGTTACATTTTTACTCCAGGGCTTTTTTTCTTATGATGCTTCTCCATTTAGCTGAAGAATATATACAACTCTTTAGCAAAATGGCCACTGCAAAAGAGGACCGTGATTGGTGCTGAGCTCCGTGATTGACAGTGGGTTAGACAAACATCTCCCTAAATACTGCTAAAAAAAATTCTGGTACATTTACCTAATGTTCATTAATGTACACTGTCTCTGTCAAATAAACGAATAAATACATAAATTGATGCAAGTTCCTGACTCGTGCGGCCGCAATTAGCGCCGACAGCGAAATACAGACTTAAACGGTGAGAAGATAGTTGTTTACATTCCCCAAAAAATATTTAAATCAGGAAAGCCTTTTGTGCTTTTGCAGATTATTGGCATCTGTCAATTTAAAACACTCATGTCAATGTTTAGCTCCTCCTTTTATAGTGACCTGAATAATTATCAATTATCCAAATAATCATGACATTCCTACTCAAATGTCATTCCTCTGCACATTCTAAGCAAGAAAGCTATATTAAAACCCACTTAATCTTTAACAGACTATGAAACGTCTTCTTTACTCACACCAGCTTAAATCTGCTGGTATTTGCAGAGGGTGCGTGTCGTGAAGTGCCAGTCAGCTCTTTCTCTTCGTGGAGCAGATCATTTGCATGAACGTGGCCTGAAGACGCAGCTGTGGTGACGGGGCATTCCCAGTCCGCACCACTGACTGTACTCCCCCTAAAGGGCAAGTGTCACTCTAACTATATACTATACTAGAGCAGGGCTATACACTTATGTAACGTGATCATCTGCTAATTATGGATGAATTCTTTTATTTGAATATAACGTCATGACATTTCATTCACGAAAGGTCAGCGCAGTGGTTTAATTGTTTACGTATTTTTACACAAACTCGAGATGCTAGACTTTCCTGAGTGTAGGCCACACGGCTGCTGTCGGTGGAAATATTGAAGTTGGATTAGCGTTCACAATATTGTCATTATTTGCCCATACATTCTCTCATAATAGAAGACATAATGTGCAAAATGGATGTAATGTGATTATACTATTTAGTGAAATATATTTATTTTATACCTGAAAAGAAACCAGAATAATGAGTAATATAGTTAAAAGAGCAAATCAGAAATTGATACTGAAATCTACCTTTATGCGTGAATCATCTAAAAGCAGTGAAAAAACAATTATGCCATCGTTTGAAATTTTACCGAGCAGGTGACGGGCCCATCAAAAAAGTTTCATTACTTTGAAGAAAGTTTGATTAACTCTTGAGGATTGTGGTCCGGCCCTGTTGTGAGTTTTCAAATATTGTTTTTTCTGCTTTCCCTGCGTTCACTTCTGCCTTTGTGTGCGTGTGATCCTCTGAAATGTTGACCTGCTAAACCTCTGAGCTCCTCGCAGCTTCACTCCGGGCTAAAACGCAGAATTCCCCCGTGCTCTACTCTTCTTTCCAGGTGAAGAATGCCAAAGAAGAACAGGAGCAATTCTCAACCAGTTTAAAAATGCCTGAAATGTTTTCTCTTGAACTTGCGCTGCTATAGAGGAGATTGTTGCTCACGGCATGCTGTTTATTCCTTTCACCAGAGTAAAGAAGGGGAAACCGGAAGAAAGTGTGTGTTGGTGAACAGTGAATGACTTGTGGGATGTGGTGAGA